TGCTTGCCGCCTTTCCCTGGCAAGGCCCGGGATTTTTTTCCACATCACCGCTTAACAAGAGCGCTTGAGTAGCCATAGAATTACTGTAATAAGCAATGCGTGTTTTGGAATATCGTAGCTTACGCCATTTTGTGAATAGACCAGGATCTACTGTTCCATGACAGGCGCGAAAAAGAACAAAGGAGATGTTTTGATGGTTACGCTCCAACACCAAGAAATTCCACGCACTCTTGAATAAAGACCCATTGACTGCAGGCGTTAATTCCAAGAGCTCTTCATTGCGGAGTACTCTTGGGACGATCTTCCACTCTCGTATGCAAATACGGAACTCCATTACGAAATCTTTCCAATCTTGGACTTGAAACGTCCAAACGTCTCTTTTATAACCATTTAAATCAATTTTGGTGACTGCCAATTGAGAGATATTACCTTTAGTAAACTGCTCGTTGAGTTCGAACACATTAGGACGGCAAGTTGCGGAGTATACAAGACAAATTACGGAGAGCAAAAATCCGTGTCTGACCGACATTGTTATGCATGAATAGAGACGAATAACAGATTATATGTTTTTATACTTCTGATTTCCAACGTCAGCATTTTATGTCGGAAGAAATAACAGCACATATTAAAGAAAAATAAGACACCTGTTATCTCACAAGATCACTAAGCATAGCTAAGTCCGGGTGTTTTTATAAAGTTTATTTCCTTAGCCCACAAAATAAGTAAACGGAAACTCATTATAACGGTCATAATAAATTCTTACATAATAATGGTCTTTGTATGTGAAAGAAAAGTTTATTTGTTTGCTTACTCAGGATGTAACTGAAAATGTCGCTCAATCTTTTGCCTTGCCTTTGGGCGATGCCAAGCAAATTGGGTAGGTATTGCCGCTGTTTTAAGTCTCTTTCGGCCCAAATTATTGAGTCCAGGTCGGTAGTCCTCTTCTAAAAAGTGCTCCCCACAAACCCTTGTGCTGTCTGTTATCTAGAAAATTAAGAAGTGAATATTCTAAGCCAGCGACATATCTGCCTATTAAAAAATATAACTCGGTTGTGAAAAAATTGACAAATCAAATACTGGAGACGATGCAATTCTCACCTTAAAATAATGGCCTTCATCCCTGCGAATTTAAGCGATCCACTGCTTTCTTAAGTCAGGCCTGCTTACCGGGCTTGGAAATCGATGAAACGTTAAGTTTTTATAACGGCCATCGTTGTTGCATAATGGCACAACAGTGGTACTTGCTGCCGCCTGCCTGCGCTCAAACACACGTCGAGCAAAAAATAGACATAAGTTAACGGCAATAATTCATCGTCCAATTCAACCCGATCGCTATAATTCTCAATTCTCCTAAGCATCTACATTTTTCCCAAGTGAAATTTGGAGCATATGATGAGGATCTAGTATAGGGCATTTCTATTTAAAAAACGACAACAGGCCGACAAATTATCCAAATGAACATGGAGAAAGCGTTTTTTAAACTGTTGAAATCAACGCACTATCGAGAGCGATTTTTTAAAAGCAATAAATACATCAACAATTTCTTAGAGAAACCATGAATCTTGTACACATCGTGAATGTGTGTAAGTATCCTTTTGTTCCGAACAGAGCCAAACATGGCGAAGAAACTTGATCAATTTACCTCGTGTTTCCGACGAGGCAGCCATTTTTTCCATAGTAACGCATAGCAACCGATTTGTTTGCCCTCCAACATGGCGGCAAGTGACACGTGACCTCTTAGTGCAAATGACCTATTGTGAAAAGGCAGAACTATTTTCCTTGTTATGTAATAGCAGCATTCACGTGGCAAGTGGCCAGCGGTATCCCATATTGACCACACGTACGCGCGATTCTGAGTGGATCAGGGGGGGGTGGTGAACTTGGTAGTTTGTTTGTCCTGACGATCTTGGCCATCGTGACATCACGAAGAGAGAAGCGGTCGTCACTTGTTTCCATCCGCCAAACTGACGTGACGTCATCTGATCTCCGGTGAACAGCTTCGGTTTACGCGTCGGCTTCCTATCGTAAAAACAAATATGGCGGCCACTGTCTGGTCTAGACTGATATATGCTTGTCAGTATACCACTCAAACTAGCGAATGAAGTGAGATTATGTTTGCCAGGATTTACCTAACCGATCTACCTTGTGTTGTTTGGTTAAAAGGCAAATCTTAAGAGAAGGTAGGCCCGAGAAGGTATGATGCGAAAGCTACTATTGACATTTATAGTTTACGTTCAGAAAGTGGCAAGGAAAGACTTAAGCTTAAATTACTTTCTATCGAGCTCACTTCTAAAAGCGTTTCATATGGAGAGTATTCTATATAGAAAAAGATATTTCTGGTTTATCGGCTTAATTCTCAAGCGACGTCATTTTGGTGGATGGACAAGGTTCCATCTATCAAACTGACGTGACAAATGTTGAAATTAACAAACCTCACTATCATTGTGTCGTTACAGAGTTTTCATTGAAATAGTCTATGGCATTACACGCCCAATTACTGCAGATTCTGTTAATTTTTCATTTATTTGGAGCTACATGTAATAAGAAACTTACATTTTAAGTACTGACTGCATTTATTTCGCTATTAAGTTTAGTCAGGGGCACCCAACGACAATTTTTGGAAAATATCTGTTCAGAAGACGATTTGAGATCTAGAAATTTCGGAACATTTGTTGTAAAACTCCTTGCTTCCCTGCCTCTCCTAGGATTTTCTAACATCTAAAAAATGGTATAATTGCCAATTTTTAACTGATTTTTACCCTAAAAAGGTCATCTAGAATTTTCGGGAGCCTTTTTTCTGGCTGAAATTTTCGAAAAGGTAAGTTTTGATCCCTATAATTTTTGGATCACTAGACTTTGAGCTAGGAAATCTGAACAGATGAAAAATTTTTTGGGGATAAAAATATGCCTATATCTACCGTTTAAATACTAAAATACGTTTAACAATGCTAAGTTTAAGTGGTTTTCAACTATATTCTCGTTGGGTGTCCCTGTTTAGTCATGATATACATGTAATTTGCATGATTTTAAGAATATCGCAACAACGTGTAACCTAACAACTTAGTTGTAATCTTTTCTTAACATGACAGTAAATAGTAAACAAGGAAAAATATCAAGCCAACTGTCATCAACCAGCTAGTATGCTGCAACTGTTAAACTGTAATGAGACTTCTCAACTGGAAATGGTCAAAGAAAGTTTCATTTGACATATCATTATAACCTTCACAGTTCTACTTAGTTAATTTTATGATTGCAGTATTGTGATGCCTCAGTTTATTAAAACCTACCATCCATAACATTTATGGTCAGTTTTATGCTCATAATTCTAAGCAAAATTAATATACACGTAACGTTCATTTGCTGACAGGTATTTCACGAAACAGGAATTATATACAATGTTTGTAACACACACATACTAACTATATATCAAAGCTTATTCTCTAAAACTACCACTGGTAACAAAATGAGTACTGGTATATGAAGATCATTATGAAATGTGGAGTCCAAATTCTGAGCTACATGTAACACATCTTTGTATTTGCCCAACAATTGGAGAGCCCAAAAGTACTACTATAATATCATCAGTAGTTGCCATAGAGATGGTGTGTGTTAATCAGTAATACCCATTTTTCAGCTTCTCGCTCTTATAACTTGAAACTTTGTCCAATGCCCCAAATTTTGTATGGTGTTATTTCACTAAGCAGGAAAACAAGTATGTTAACAAAATTTGACAAAATATTGAAAAACAGGTTGTGCGAGAAGATTTTCTAGAATTACCAAATGGCATAGATTTCAATAAGGAAAATCTACAGTTTTCTCAAAACAGCACTTTTGTTTCGATGGTGAAAAGCAATGGTATCAAACAATCAGTGGCTTACTCGCTATTCCTCTAGACATAAAACTATACCACAGCAACAGTATAACTTGTCAAAAACACCTTTAAATACTTATAACTTGAAAACAAGTTAGGTGACCTCCATTGTTTATTACACTGAATAGAAATTCATTAGTGAAGATACAGCCTTTTGTTTAAACTAGCAGGGGATTCAGAGGCACCTTAAGATTTTGGAAAAATTAACGTGTAACCTGATGCTAAAAACTTTTAAGCTTTTCAATTAGTAATAAGTTGACATTCTGATTATTTCAACAATAAAAAATGGGGCTCATTTTGAGTTAAAAGCACATGTTGGAGGCCAGGCATTCAATGATAGTACTTGGCAAAACTTTTGTTAGCCACTTTAAGCAGGTTAATTTCTTGAGGAAGATGTAACTTTTGCATCGTCTTTGCATTTGTTGCATCTCCACTTACGATTGCTGTTTATTGCCCAGGCTGGTATTTTCACACAAGTGGGATGATACCATTTTTTGCATTTTCCATTGCTGCACTGAACATATTCTTCTCTGTCATATGGTAGTCTACACACACAGTAAATAGCAACAGATGACTTGATACTGCCCAAGTGACGTGGCACTCTCTTTTCAGTTTTGGGGAATGGTGACATGGCTCCATTTTCTATGCAGTTGACATAATGCTGTCGCATAGATCCTTGGTTATAATTCTGATTTGTGGGATCTATACCATGACACAAATCAGTTGCAAATGCCAGCGAAAACAGACCACAGTCACTACCTCCAACTTGTCGCTGGACTTTCTCATTGATAAAAGTGACTTTGTCTCCAGGATACATCAACATGCGACAGGCATGCTCTACTGCTGTTGAATTAGTATTCTGATAAAGGCTATCGAAAATCTTGACAGTGTCGGGACTGGATGTTGTTGAAATTGTACTTAGACACACCCAGTGGTTCCCAGTATTGATGATCTGAATGAACTCTGATGTTGCAGGGACAACAAGGGACCCTTTTATTGCTGGATCACATAGCCCGTCCATGAAGGGATAATCCCTCTTGAGTAGCATTTGCCCTGCATGGATCTCAGAATCAGAGAGCCAGGTGGTCTTCTGTAAAATTCTTGTCTTGTTTTCTATATACAGATTAAGTTTGTAATTTGGATCCTCAGGGTCACAATTTTCTATTGTCAACCATGATGGAGGATCAGGAGAATTTTCGTCAATTAGAATAGGTCCTGGAGTAGATTTGCTTGAAGGAGTACTTGAGTCACCAAATTGACCATTGCTGACAGCTGATGATGGACTGTTGCTGACTGCTGATGATGGACTGTTGCTGACTGCTGATGATGGACTGTTGCTGACTGCCGATGATGGACTGTTGCTGACTGTTGATGATGGACTGTTGCTGACTGCTGATGATGGACTGTTGCTGACTTTTGATGATGGAATGTTCCCAACTGCTGATGATGGACTGTTGCTGACTTTTGATGATGGACTGTTGCCAACTGCTGATGATGGACTGTTGCTGACTTTTGATGATGGACTGTTGCCAACTGCTGATGATGGACTGTTGCTGACTACTGATGATGAACTGTTGCTGACTTTTGATGATGGACTGTTGCCAACTGCCGATGATGGACTGTTGCTGACTGTTGATGATGGACTGTTACTGACTGCTGATGATGGACTGTTGCTGACTGTTGTTGATGGACTGTTGCTGACTGCTGATGATGGACTGTTGCTGACTGTTGATGATTGACTGTTGCTGACTGCCGATGAGAATATTTCTTTTTGCAAAGGTTGGTCTTCTGAATTTGGGTGTTGAGTGTTAGTTGGAGAGGTATCAGTTCTCTCCTGAGCAGCAGATGGATCATTGCTTGTTTTAGTTTCATTTTGGACAAGGTGGTTCTGTTCTTCTGTGCGTTGTTTCTTTGCTGGAGAAGGATGTTTGGATTCTTTGTGCAATTCTTTCTTTCTTTTGAGAGAACTTTTTGTTTTGGATGTCTTGACTGACACTCCATCAACCGGGATTTGCACTTTATAGTGTTTTTGCATCATGGATGCAAATTCTCCAACTCTGTTGTGAAACCTTTTTTTCTTGGGGCGCACAGGTAGTGGCAGGTAATTTCCAAAAGATGATTTGAGTTGTTTCTTGCCAGATTGTTTTTTAATCAACGTTTGCATTTGTAACGAGTTTTCCTTTTCGTCAGTTGTTTGAAAGGTTGTGAACTTAATTAGTAACATTTCAAGGGAACTGTTGAGTTCTTTGAGGGCACTTACATCTTCAATGTTATATGTCAATGATGTTAGCCCTTTAAGCTTCTCCCTACATGTTACTGCCTCTTGCCTGATTTGACTTTCAATGCCTTTCACTTTCTGGTTTGGGACACCTGCTTGGCCATCTTGCTGATTTCCTGGTACGTCTTGACCAATCTGAATGTTGTGATTTTCTTCACCACTTTTATACTTAGTGAAATCAGCAAACACATGCTCCCTGTCTAGTGAGAGATGGGGGTTTTCACGATATTTTTCTGGCAATGAACCCCACTGCCATTTTGGGTAATGGTCGAAAATTGCAAAAAAATGCTTGCATAGGAGCCCCGTGTGGCAAAAATCAGGACAGCTACATCGTGGCATGACATCCCCAGCACCAAAAGACAGGCTGTACCATGTGTTGCTTGACTGTGATTGCACTTGGAACTGACCATCTTCTATGCCATTACAAACCTCCTTGATATGCTGGGGTTCTACTTCAACAGCAGATATTATGCGCTGCCTGCAGTGGTTCACAAATGGTCTTGGTTTATTGTGCAAGTATTTTGGCACATCTGAGCTGTAGCGCCTGTATCCTTCACTGCACCTTGTGTTAAGCTCCACATACCTGGGAAAAAAGCAGCGTCTTAATAAATTGTTAATAATTATGCAGTGATATTTGAGTTGCATATGTTGTAGAATTTTTGCATTAATCCCTACTTTAACTTTAAGCATTTGAATTTTTGAATGTGGGATGTACTGTACCTTCTGTATTTGTCGGGTAGAAATTCCTCGATTAGTGTCGTAACCATTCCACTGAGGCTGTTGTTATTTCGATCCTTCAGGTACTGGTATTTCAAGGACTCATTCTGCCTTTCAATGCCGTTGTTAGTGTTGATACTCAACATGAATCGGTCCTGTCTGAATGCCCACACCCATCGCTGTAATAAAAAGCAAATTACAGAGAATTTAAACTTTTAAGTGAACTGGTCCTTGCTGCATGCTAACAGCTCACTTCATCAACATTTATTATTTACACAAATATGTTAGACAGGCGTGTTATTTACCTGTATGTCAGGCAAAGGAGGACATGGGCGTGCAGAGGCAAGCTTTCGTTCTTATACAGTTCGAACCCTAATAAGCAGCCACCCTTGGGGAAATGGATAGTGGCCGCTTAAATAGAGGTAAAAAACAATTTAAAAAACCCCTCATGGGAGCTTTGATTACTGGGCGAGTAATACGGGTTGGCCGCTTAATAGGTGACCAGTTAATAATTAGTAATTATAATAATAATTTTTTTAAAATAATACAGCTCTAATAATAATAATAATAAATTTATTTCAGTGTCAATGCATTTAGCTGGATAGGGGTTCAACTGTGTATATTGCATGCAATGTACTTCTAGACCCCTTTCAGTTTATTCCCAATTTGGAGGGCAAAAGAATAAGATTGCCTTGCATTTGAAAAGGTTTTTTCTCTCAGAAGAGAGAACAACCATTGTTTTGTCCTCCAGATTGGGAGTTACGGGAAGGAGTCTATTGCAGACAAGTATAAAACTGTGTGCTGTGTGCTTTATTTCAATTCTTACCTTAGACTCTACAAGCCATGTTTTTTCAAACCAATTCCTGAGCTTGGGATTAGCCAGCCAAACTGCACTCTCCTTAAGGGAAGACAAATTTTTTTCAAATGACTCTTTTGTTGGTGATTTTGCCACGTTGCGAAGCAATGTTAGGACCTCTTCCCTGCTGTCAGTCAACCCATTTTCAGACTTTCGTAGCCATCTTTCCCAGCACTGTTCTCGATGAAAGTCACAAATATATGTAGTGGTATCTGTTAAACCAAATTAGAATGTGAAACGTTTTGTACATTCTATTTTTAATATTATAATAGTCAGTTGGCATTTGAGAGAAGATAAAGCATTATGATGGATATACTGATACCTCGTATGGCATCAACCTAAGCTTGACTTTAAGGTTTCGCCCTCTAGGAAGTTTCCAGATTTGTAACTGAATACCTAAAGTCATATTTAATTTGGGCTGGTTTTCCAGTCACTAGGGAGGATCAAGGTTAACTTACAATTTTATAGAAATTGTTACTTATTCCT